TCTTCGAAGGGTTGATTGACCAAGTCACACGAGCTCAATGCCCGAATTCATTACTTGCCATCTTGATTTGAATCTACCCACAAATAAACTTTTATAGGCCATAGGTTGAAAATTATCTAAGTCAGAACAGGCTCTACATAATTCTCAGTTTGTTAAAGCAGTTAAATTAGGCCTAGTTTGAAAATAACTAGATATATCACTCATGCATTAAAATGGTGGTGGCGGGACAGTCAGCAGTGTTACACTCAGCAAGAGCACGTAACAAACACCAAAAGGAAACAAGACACATCGAGCTGTTACCGTTACTTTAATTCTGATTGTGGACAAAACAATGTAATTACGGTAAGACTTGTTTACACCGAGTAGGTGCGATGGCTGAACCTGATGATGACCATATAATGTCGAAACAATACGAACACTCTCAAAACAGTGTAAATTGGCGCGTGTAAAGAACAACATACCGAGAAACTACACTTCAGAATGTTGTCCTGTCACCCTCTAAACGCAAATTTCACTCTCGATTGAGTTGCAGTGCCCGGAGGTAGCGGTGAGATGCTCGTCTCCTCATTGTCTGCTGCTTAAGAATTGCGTTTGTAAAAGTCCGCGGAGATGGCAAAAGATTCATTGCGGTTCCGTCGATGTTAAGAATTCTTCTACCCTGTTATGAAGTAGACCTAGCGTCACATAGAGGATCAGTAAGGAGATGTGATGACAACGAGGAAGCATTAGTAACAGCTCCGATTAGCCAATGTACTTTGCTAGGAAGGCGTTCAATAACTTGTCAGCCATCAGAGAAAAACGTAAAAAGAAATCAGTTTTGTTGCTGATACATTTCCATTGTCTTGCATAAGGGATAAATAAATCGTGAGTTATTTTAAATTATCTGCCGCTTCTAGAAACAAGGAAATATCGCAGATGATTAAGATGCGTTGTTAATTCCGTGGTCCTCGGAACTTTGATAGCGACAGGGATCTGAGTGGAGAAAGAAGGTTGTGCTCAGACAGTTGTTAATAATTGCAATTTTTATATAGTGAAATATTTTGTAACTGATGTTCAGTATCTTTAAATATTCTGTAGTCACGTGCCTATAAAAGTTGTGACTGATTGAAAACTGGGGATGGGCTCCACTTTCCTTGCTTCTGCTGATACTACTACTACTACTACTACTACTACTACTACTACTACTACTACTACTACTACTACTACTACTACTACTACTGCTAATCTGTCCATGAAAGTTCGGGTAATCAGGTTCGCGTTCTATAAGCAGAAAAATCGTCTCAGAATTAACAGAAAGCTGCACTTACCTCCTTTTCCTATCAACTCAGGGGTTCAAAATCGTCTACACTGATATCGCCGGTCCGTGGTTGTTGCTCTGTAACAGAGCATAAGAAGTACAGGTTTAACCGTAGGGAATGAGTCTCTTTGGAAATCTCTTCTGCGACACGAGGGTGCCGCGTTCCTCCCAAAACCCTTTAAATTCAAGAAGCTCTACCCCTTTGCTGACCATAAAGTCATTTCCTAGGTAAGCCAACGTACCTCTGGCACGGGGTAAGGATTACTCATCCCCCGGGCGCAGTAAGAAATTCGACTGAGGTCCCATTGTCAAAAGCACGTCCCAGGCTCCAGCCTGTCGCTGGCCAGACACAAGCCCGCATAGTATCTACGTTACGCTACAATCCTAAAATATAAATCTAACAAATTTCCAATATATTATAGTTATAACTTTTGATTTAGAAAGGTACTATCAAAGGCAAAACCTAACTTAAGCCCCTTTCTTTGCATACTAACCGGATTGACTGCCGGAAGTCAAGTTCCTGTCCATCTTTGGTTGCTTGTCCGGAATAGAACTCATCTCTGGTAGCTTAACAGAGCCACGGAAGGCAAGTTCCTGTCCATCTTTGGTTGCTTGTCCGGAATCGAACTCATCTCTGGTAGCTTAACAAAGCCACAACATGCGAGGAATTTCTTTATTCGCTGAGTAAGTATTAGCTTTCTAAGGAGTCATAACTGACACTGGAATAAAACGAAGGACACAGAACAGGATATTGCTCAATTTTGTATTTAAGTATTGTTACTAACCTAGACTAAACCTTATTACACGCCAATTTCTCTTGTATATAATGTCAGTAGTGTATTTAATAGTGTAACCGAGTATGAGCCTTAATACTGTGGAGGCTAGATCACGTAAAATGTGCCAATTTCAATAACATAGGGCCACATATACAATCAGGAATTCGACTGTTTTCTAGCAAACTGACCGTTCTTAATAATGTAGTACACATAGCAGATAATACAACAATATTAGCTGAAGCGACCACTGAAATGTACGACAAAAGTCCTTATATTATTAAATCCATTGGGGTCATAATTGTAATGTGTGTGATTATTAGGATAATTATAAAAAAAAAACTTAAAGTAATGCCCGAATACTCACACCTCCTTTACGTCCGATTCGCTGCCATGCAAAATTCAATGTTGCATAACATCAACAGTTGAAACAGGATGTTGTCTCGGGATAATACTACCACACTGCAAAAATCTTTATTGAAAGTAATTTTACGTAAGCAGAATTGCAATACACAGCTAGAAGCTTATTGTTTGCTTTATCACAGTGACACTACTAACATGTTTGATGACCACTACAGTATTCTGCTATTAATGAGCTATAAATAAAATACAAAATAATCAAAAAGAATGTGGTAACATTATTCTGGAATACTCTCTATTCTAAAAATTCATAAACGATCAATTTCTCAGTCGTCTGTGAACGTAGCTTTCACCGATCTTCGCTTACTGGTGATTTAGAGTTACCAAGAAGAGCATCACTACCGAGTAACTACGTACAG